TTTTCCAATTATGGTGTAAATAATACACCGTAACTGTAAAGTTTAACACTTTAAAAGAATCACAAATCAGCAAGTAGCCATTAACAGTCTCCATTCTTTTGTGTCTTCTTAAAGAGGATGAACCTATCATTTTTGGCACCAACTCCCTTCAGAGGCGTAGAAAGGGGCTGGGCTTAACGAGCCTGCGCGCCACTGGCTCAGGCTCCACCCACTCAAAGGGCAGATCTGGCCTCATGATTGGACCGCCAAAGAACTTCAGACAGATTTCTTCAATCATCGATGTGGACATTTTGCCTGAGACACATCGACGGGTACGACTTCACAAGCATGGCACTCAAAAACCACTTGGGTTCTACATACGTGACGGCGTGAGCGTGCGGGTGACACCGCAGGGCGTAGAGAAGGTAAGGTTTGTTACTTTGCTTTTACCCTGCTTACAAGACAGTATTCTGCCTTTAATGCTGACAAAATTGATGAATTATTTCCCTGTAATTCACCAATGATGTACCAATTGTGCAGTTATGATTGGGCCGGTAAGATACCCCCATCTCAAAATTTCTCTAAAAATATCAGCAAGTAGCACCTTCATGCAGACATAAAGATAAAAGTTATGAATATATTAATATCAGCTATAATAGCTAAAAGCTGTTGTCTCATATTTGTATCTTTCTTCTTGCTCCTGAAGGTTCCAGGGGTGTTCATATCTCGTCTTGTGCGTGGTGGGTTAGCAGAAAGCACTGGGCTGTTGGGTGTTAACGACGAGATCCTCGAGGTCAATGGCATCGATGTAGCAGGAAAATCTTTGGATCAGGTAAATGCCCTTCCAGGCTCAAAGAAAATTCAATATATACAGAAGATTCAGAATTAACTTGATCAAGATTCAAGTGTGCTTCTTTTTCATGAACAGTAAATGTACTTTGCCCATAAATTACAACACAGTCGCACTTGTGTGTGTCGTTTTTTTTTCTTTATCCGTAGTGGATACAAGCTTACAAAGTAACAGTTCAAAAACAGCTTAGGAAGTAAAAGTAGTAGTAATGATTAGACCAGCGTTTGTATGTATCAAAATAACGGGGTGTTAAGTCACTCTATATGCACTCATTAGAGCATTTTAATGATAATCAATCAGGGCTGGACTGGTAATCTGGCATACTGGTAGGCCAACACATTTTTGGGCCAGTGGGTCAATTGAAGCGCTGCTGCGCACTGGCTTTACAAGCGCTGACAGCAGCCCATTCGGTCATTTTAATTACTGACAATGTATTGCCCAATCAAGTCTCTAAAAGCTACCGGGCCCTCCCATACTTACGCACACGCACCTTGTAGAATACAGTTTGGTAAAACAAATGGCTAATTTCACCATGGGCCGCTCTTAATGGCTAAAGTTTAGCTTTTAACTGTCACATGTTTCAGTGGAGTGCAAAAAAGAACCTTTTGTGTTACAGCAACATGATAAAGAGTAAAAATAGTAAAGTCTACAATAAATAACAAATAAACTAACAAATAAAGTAAGACTGGCAATGTGTGGAGAAGAGTGGAGTGCAAATTGCACAATATTATATTCAATTATATGTTATATATAACATGTACTCTTTAAATCTAAGAAAAACAGCTGCATTTTTCATCGCATCATTTAAGCCCTATTTGACTATCTCATCTGTCATTTTAGGTCACAGACATGATGGTGGCAAATAGTCACAACCTTATTGTGACCGTAAAGCCAGCTAACCAGAGGAACAATGTTACGCATCGTAGGAGTAAAACCTCCGTAGGTAACTCGGGTTCTCTGGGCTCAGTTGGATCTACAGGCTCTGCCGTGTCACATGACTCACAAAGCCCCGCCTCTCTGAGCAATCCCATCACTGCAAGGTTTGTCATGCATACTATCTTTTTTTGGGCCTGCTTATGAACAGAAAGAATGGGGACTGTGGCAGCACTGGCATACATCATATCTGTTAAAGGAGAAAAAGAAAAAGAAGTTTGTGCTTAAACGTTTAATGAAATGAAACTTTATTGAAACCGTTGTTTTGAAATAATAATGAGAATCATGAATTTTAGAAAAATGCAGTCAAAGCTAGCTGAATTCTCAACTTTATTCACAAGTTGCCAATAGGAACGGACACGTGCAGTTCATATTGCATTCACTTTGTTCTTAATCATTTGGCATGTCTTTTGTTACCATAGCAACAGCATTGCTGAGGGTGACAGTGATGATGGTGGTGATGATGATGATGAAGGTGACCTCATTCTGGAGAATGACTGCCTGACACCCTACGACTCCCACCGGGTCACTAACAGCACCACTATGCCCGACAGAGACTCACTTAGCAATGGGCCACATAGCTACACCGTGGGTAGGCCCCTCCCACAGAGTGTCTCATTGCCCAGTAATGTCGGAGCATCCCTGAGAGACAGCGCCATGATGATCTCCAGCCACAACGGAAACTCCACCCACACAACTAGTAGCAGTGAGGAGAGCATGAGAGAAGATAGCAACGTAACAGCACTGTAACCACGACAGCACTGTTCCATTGAGGACTATGAATGTTAGCGCAACAGTGCTGAAACCACGGCAAATACAGGTGGCTGTGGTCCTGTTAGATAACAGACTTCTAAAAGAGGAGGGAGTTGACGTATGAAGCACTGACAGGACCTCCGGAGGGACCATTCAGTCTTCTGCTAGTTTACACTTTACCTCTTTCCCGCCTTGGTGGATTGTTGGCTTTTACTGTATGAAGGCATAGGAACACTGTATACGATGCAACGTATGGCTGAAGTTTTCAGCTTTGTCAGGTTCTATAAACAACAGTAATTATATCATTTTTTAAAAAATGTTATATTATGGAAATGTTTAAATACCATAATGTATTAACAGATTCATATTGACCATTTAATTAAAAAAATTAAATAGTTATAAATCCTCTTGTAAAAGCCATAAGTCACTTTGATGTCAATGTATTTTAAAAAATGTCTTCAAACCTATAGTTGACTTTCATGTTTTATTTTTGCGGCACCACAAAAACCAGTGCAAGTAGCACTACGTCACTTTGGCATCTCTAACTGTGAAACTTTGTGTCTGTGTAGTAAACTTAATGCTTAGTGTGGCAAACATGGCAGATACACATGGAAGCTTCATGAAATGAAGCAAAGTGATTAAAGTTGTTTTAGCATTTGGGTAACTGGGTCTTAGACTGCCGACATCTCAGAATTACAGGTAGTTCTGGCTCCGCTTCTCTCCCTGCTGTAACTTTGTCAAAAGCTTTTAATACTTCAGGAAAAGCACAGCAGTAAATGAACAAAGGTAACATGTATTTTAACCCAATACTACTTACTTTACATTGATTACATTTAAATAAAAGTTTACTGTGATTTAAAGCAGAAGCATCAGTAAGTCAGTCTGTTTTATGAGTGGTTCTGACAGTACCCATTGTCCACAGCTGAAAGTCTTCAAACCCCTGCAGCATTTGAAGAACACGAATAAAATCCTGTTTCCTCACAATGGGAGTTGAGATGTGATTTGCTAAAAGTATATTTATTACTCACCTCACCATTTACCGCTTGTGTCAATCTTTCCGAACTTCAAATTCCTACACAGCAAACTACAGGGAGTGCAGAATTATTAGGCAAGTTGTATTTTTGAGGAATAATTTTATTATTGAACAACAACCATGTTCTCAATGAACCCAAAAAACTCATTAA